AGAATGGAATCACTTAATAGTCTTCAGATTGCATGCCAACCTACTCAATAAACAGGAAATTTACTGCCATTTATTTTTTTAATAAATGTTTGCAAATTCAAATTAAACTGGTAGAGCTAGGATCAATTTTTGAAGAAGCAAGAGAAGCTAGCCTGTTTTATTTCGATGATTGTAACGCTTGTTAAGTAATGAGTCTGCACGCACAGTGTGGCTGAGCTTATGGAAAGTTTGATTCGTTTTCTCAGACAAGCTGCACATGCTTCATTAGTGGGTTCGGTCGTAGACTCAGAGGGTAGACATAGCGAACCCCTAAGAATGTTGTGTCTCTCGCCCAGATCCAATGATGTAGATAAGGTCGTAGCTTTGTCCTTCTAGGAACACCCATCAGCCGTTAGTTTCAACGTGGTAAATTTGACGTCGTGCGAAAAATTTGACCCTGCATCAAACAGGTAGGTTCATGTTAAATGCAATGCCGTCTTAGTAAAGTTGTCGCTGAAAATGCTCAATTAGATCTTCGTGCAGAGGCAAATTGCTCCGGATCATGTTGAAACTGAGGTGACGCATTAAACCCCACAGGTCGATGTCCTAAACCTAGAATGGTGACAATTCGTGCATCATTGCGGTGCATTTGGACAATTCCTGGTGTTCACTGTTGCGCGATGTCGAATAGCTGCAACGTGGCCGTGGGCCAGGGGTTGTGCCAGATGACGGCTTCTCGTGGTTGGTTAAATCAATACTGGAAAATTTTTAGTCCTCAAATGGCAACGAGAAAGGGGAAAGTCAGTAGACAGAGTAGGGATTTAGCAAAAGCGTTATCATTCAGCGTTGGCTTAACAGCAAATATTGAAATGCGGTAACTGAACAGACGCAACTGCTTGAGTTCCCTGCGATGTCGGGCACTGAATGATGCAGGAACAGCTATCCAACACAGTATGACAAAATTCTTTTAAACTAAAAACTCAAAACTAATTATACATGACACCATCTTGAATCATTTCAAGAATTAGGCATTATCAGACAGACTAATCCAGTTCTAAAGTTCTAACTTGTCACTTCCATGTGCTGATAATTGCGGATGAACATCATTCTGAGGATCTTGGTTTGTAAGAATTTAGCGCGGCATTCTGATGACTCCCGCGTCTGATTCACTATCCACGTGATGCTGTCATTATCCAATCACAGAGCAGTTGGGTGCATTCACAACCGTTCTTCTACGGCCGTATGCCACGATATTAGCTGGAGATTGTCAGACCCATCAACACCACTGACTAACATCTTTCTAATATTACTAATCCTATTTTGAGAAAGAAATAAACGCGAGTTCAAATGATGTAGTTTGTTGGACAAATTGACGTGAATCCATGTGGGGTTTGCATAAATCAGCTCAAAGTGAGGTTTTCTTGACGCTTTCAATAGTGCTGATGCAGTGAACGCAGATCAGAGCTACGTGAACAGTTCCTAACCAAACTAACTGCGTTGCACGTAAGTACTGATGAAATTAGTGAATTATTATTGGATGTGTCATTATGATGACTCTTTACTAAATCGGCCAATCAGATTTTCCAAATGGTCTGTCTCACTCAAAACATCCGCGACCTCAAGTGACGTGATTCGTTGTGCGATTTCGAATATGGATTTATCGTAAACTATCCCACAAGGGTGTTTGCTCAGCTGTTAGGTGCTGATGCCGTGGTCACAGATGAACAGCACATTTCTCATCCAAATAAATCAAATTTGCCTGGTCGATGACATGAAATGAGCGTCCTAGAAATGAGTCTATAATTGACTATTTTTGTGATTAAGGTTAGTTAATTTTACAAAGAAGTGCTACAGTGGCAATGCATTAGCAATATTAAACAGCTGATTAATGAATACGGTTTAATACTTAGTCTCCACGGAGCCTGTTTCATTGGGTATTGTACTTTAATTAAACCACATGGCGGATTAGTCTCTGATCAACTGCCGTGAAAGAAGTCGAGCTCACGGTTTCCGAGAATTCAGACTTACTTGGCGTTTGGACTCCTCGGGAACAGTAAGAGGGGATTATTCGATGCCTACCGAGGCCACTCCACTTGGTGTCTTCGAAAAACTAAGCCAGTTTGTTTTTGGCTCCTTTGATTAGTGTCTTCCGTTGAAGTTTTCCATCTCACTCCCTCTACTTGCAGTGTCTAACCCTACTGCTAACAGCCCTCCCGTTTAGAAAACGGCGTTTTCGCTAGCCTACCTCATTGCATTTCAAATGCTCATTTGTGGCTTATGCAGATTGAAGCTTAATTTCGCAACCTAGGGGTTACTTCCCAGTCTTCGAATTGCCTACACTGCGTTCATTTACGGCCAGCAGGTGTCGTAACTGAACTCATCAACTTGATTGAAAACGTGCCCTCTGAAACCCCTATGTCAATTTAAAAACTTCTAGTTTTGAGCTAACGACCATCTTAATTGAAGCCTCTCTTCGAAGTAGGTGACATCTCTCCTTCCCAACTCCTTCGGCATATGAACAACCTACCTGGAAGTAATAATGTCGATGACTCAAATTTGAGCCGGTTATCGGCTAAATGCCTCCCAGCGAGTATAAATTAACTAAGTTTAGTCCAGGGCATAGACACGCCATTTGAGAAAATCGCTGACAAACCTAACAAGACCCACTCCTGTTGCTCTCAAGGACTTGGAGCAGAAACCATCTATGTGGGCGAAGTAAACAACGGCAACAATTATGAATAAAGGAATTTTCCCACACACACACGACAAATAAACCTAGATCTGACTCAGCACAATATGACGACATCTTTGGAATCACCATTAAAAAAGCCTTCGCGACCATTCCACCATACACGGAAATGTCTAATGCAAACCTCGTGATCACCGACAGAACTACGACGTAGACGCAACCATCCACTTTCACCCAACATCCACCGTGTATCACCGCATAAAACCAGCATGGGCGTGTGTGTCTACATTTAACTTGCTAACGAAGACAGGGAATGCTAAACACGAGAAAGGGTGAGTCGTAGGCACAGGCAAGCATGCCAAATGTCCACTTGACCGTCCACTGAAAGCCTCCAAAGGACACAAACGCATAGTTTATTTAAAGGTATAAAAATACAAACAATTCTTCTGCCAGGAGGTCTGCAAGGGTGACTAGACGGTATCGCTTAACTCTGCATGATTTGCTTCTAAATTCGACTTACCCGACCACCTTTCTGCCCTGCCACCTGATCCTCCATCCCCTCCTCTTCAATCACCACCATTGACATCCATGGATTCATGTGCAACAGCATCTTCACCAGTAGAGCCATGCGTGCCCGAAAGCAATCCATTCAACCAACTTGTATCTGGTTCAAATAATAGTCCAATTTCGGTCTAAAAAGGGATTCTCCTCCCTTGTGTCGCAATTGGCTGCGTTGGTGAGGTTGACGGTGGTGTCCGTCCTGTTCGAAGGCACAGTGAGTTGATACTCGCGAGACGCCTACTCGATCACACAGATCCAATCAAACCATGTCAACTGCTCAACTGCTGCATTTGACGTCCAACAGGCAAAGCGCTCTCACGCAGATGAGAGATCACACGCGCATCACGGTTCAAGCAGACTTGACTCACAATCACCAGGATTTCCGCGTTATACTCTTCACCGCAGCCAACTGGCACTTAGTGGAAGTGATGTACTGGCTTTACGATAACTGGAGGTTGATAGCTATTTGAAGGCTGCGCGTTGTGGAGCATTGTTACGTTGCCCATTTTACTTACAAACCCAGGCTCGTTTGTTGGTGTCGTGAATCAGCTGACATGCCAAAGATTACAGGACTGTCCCCATGGATTGATGAGTGATGCTGAGGCAATGAATGACTGATTTCATGGACCTGCACATTGAAGGTATCTCAAGCCCGACTTCTGTCAACGACGATCGACTGTCT